TCGGCAGTTAATTCGGTTAAATACTCAGGTCCTTGGTATCAGAATTGGGCTCAATTTAGTAAATTAGCTTGGTGTTCAGACTGCGCTACAAAGTTGTGAGTGGCTAATGCTGCTGCTAATTGACTTCAGGTTAAGCCATTTTTTGGTTTTTGATTTTCGTTAGTTTTCATAGTTTTAATAAGCAAAGGAACTATTTTTGATTAGCCTTTCCTCACCGCCCATCGGCTTGCTTCACTACTTCGTCGGTTGGAGTTAGTTGAAAACTAAGTGGTTGGTCTAAATCAGTGATTTGACGTCATTGTTCAAAATAATGCGGCACTCCGTTCTTATTCGGAAATTTAGCAAAAACTTTTAATCATTGCTGGTCTTTCCTTAATTTCAGTCGAATTCAATGTCGCGGTTTTTCTTCTTGCAAAATAAAAAGTCAATCACGGGAATTGTTGGCTTGTTTGTTGGTGATTTCGGTGTTATTAGATCACAACCGATTATCTTTTATTTGGTACTTAAATTTTTGGTTTTTCATATTCTTAAATGGTGCTTTTTCACTGGTTTACCAATGGCTAAGCGTTACTTGGAGGTCGAAATTAGGTTGCGGTTTTCGAAGTTGACAACTTTTGTGTTGCACGGTCCGCAACCAAAGTTTCAGATTGTAAAAAGAATGTGATCCGTATTCCTCTTTGACGATTTGATTCTGATAACTACTCACGCACAAGGAATAATTCCGCTCGCTAATATCTGCTTCCGTTAAGGGCTGTTGGCAAGACGAACACGCCAATTCCCTTAATAATTCAGAGTTCAAGAAGTTACCTGAGAACTTAATAGGCGTAGCGGACATAGTTATACGAATACAATGTTTAAAATAAACAAGAGCGGAGATTTAAGAGTTGAGCGTTTCGTTAGTTTTCACTCGTTCTCCGCTCGTTAGAGAGTGAAAAAGCTCGTGGTTTATTTAAGGTCTAACCACTAGAAAAGACCTGTTTGCCTCATAAGCGAAAAAAATACTTAATAATTCACCCAATTCCCTTAAGCAGTTGGTAAAGAAGGAAAACTACAATCAGAGTGGAAACCAGAGTAACAACCCACTGATTATCTAAAGTGGCTTCTTGTTTAAGTCCGGAGTAAACAATTCAACTAACTAGTTTTTTAAGGGGAATTAAAATCATATTTTTTTGTTCTTATTCTATATTATAAACCTTTTATTTTTCACACTTCTTCCGTTTTTATTTCTTTAGTTTGCCCTTTTAGTTCCTGATAAAGTTTAAGAAGAGAGT